ATAGAATAGAATAGAATAGAATAGAATAGAATAGAATGTGATGTTGAGTCCAGGAATCACACCCTAGACCCCAGAGGCGAAAGGTGAGTGTACTACCCCTACACCACCCTTGATTCACTAATGTATGTGATGCCGACCCGAAACATGACTCAAACAAAATATCTTATTTTTAAAGAAATTAACAATAGACTAAGATCATGGGGAAACTTTGTTGTTTATGCCAACTAACCTGCTTTACATCATCTATGCTGGATAATGCCCACCCTTTTCTTCTGTATGCGTCCCTCACTTCTTCGCAAGTATTACAACATCTAAAATAACAGGCAGGGCATCACTTTGTATTACATTGATAAAATAATTAAACAACATTTGTACTGTATTAATTATTAAGTAGAACCAACCAYGTTATAGACCCCTTGCACTGAGTCACGAGAGGAATAGTTCTGGGGGACAAAACAATGGATTTTTTTGCATAAGAAAAGATGGCCTATTGTTTTATCCCCCAGAGCAATATTCCCCTAGGAAATCAATGCAAGGGGTCAATACTTCAAGCAACATGTGGTTGGTTATGAAGAGCTTCTTTGTCCAGGTATTTGATGATAAACCAATGTTTTTAAACCTAGGTACTAGCTAAGCTAACTGGTTGGCTCAGTTTCTTGAGCATCAGATTTTTGTGCGGGGTCATGGTTCCAGCGTCAGCCCGACCAACCCTCAGAGTCTTAAAATAACTGAGGAGAAAGTGCTGCCTTTGTAATTACATCTACAAATGGTTTGACTTTTAATTGCCTTGGATGACCATTTTAAATGATGGTCCTGTCTCTCTTCTCACTTCATTATTCATTACCAATTTCAGAGGGACGTAAAAGAACCACAGAGGATGTACTGTAAAGAAACCCTGGCAGTGACCATCCTCAGTGCCTCCACTTCATACTAACCATCTCTCATGCTTGTAAATTGCATAAATGCAATCTGTCATTCACAACTCAATGTATAGCGCCTTTGGCTATATCTACACATAGAAAGGGCACTACTGTTTATAAATCATTATCATTAACTGGAATTTTCCTTACTTGCTATCAGGAGTTTCAGCACCGTAGCAGCTCTCACAGCGATTTGGATCAAGCTGAAATTGGAAATAAAAATCTCTTACAGTACCCCAAACATTATCTAGGGAAGCACTGGTGGCATGCGCTGCTAATGCGTCGCCTCTCACCAATGAGACCTGGGTTTGAGCTCTGTCAGGCTTGGTGTCGTATGTGAGTATAGAGTTGTTTGTTGGTTCTCTCCTGTGCTTCCAGGGTTTTTCCTCCGGATTCTCCGGTTTTTCYTCCCTCCACGAAAATCAACTTGTAAATTCTAATTCAATCTACCGGCTGCCTTATCAGTTGGGTTGCAAGGCCTGTTAGGCATTAAGCTGTCCACCCAGGAGTGATAAACCATTAGATTAGATAGATCTTACTTAGATACAGTACATGGTATGTTTTCTCATCTTATCTTCAATTCTCTAAATTTACAATTGCATGAGATAGAAAATTTCAAAATGAGACAAATCCAAAATCCCTGTTGCTTAGAATTCGTCTCAAAGAGAATTTGTCGTGGAAACGTGCTTTGCTGCAACTTATGATAGACCTTTTTCGAATCCATAAAATTACTGCTGTACTAACTCTTTGATTAAAGACTCTCATTTAATGAGGGTTAGCCTCATTATGAATAGAGTGCATGCACTAAACCTGTGAATAATATTTTATACTAATTAGTAGTAATAATATTATTTATCCAGAATCCTTTGTTTCCTATTGTTTGATTATCGTTATTTAGTACTAAAAATTGGTATTTGTTTCACAGGTTTAGTGTGAGCACTCTATTTCAGTGCCAAAATATGGTATTCACAAAATACATGTACTGTACATGTACCATAAAGAATRCAAAACTTCAACAATACAAACAAGAGACTAATGAAGAATCTTTTATTAAATTCATCCAACATGGCAGCTATGAAAACCATTAATGTACACTGTAAAATACTTTGAAATTCGACGGACCTTCACTGGAACACATGCATATTCTGCACAAAATCGAGGCTAACCCTGAGCAACAAAGAACTCAAAACTGGAGTATTTAACTCAAGATACAGAAAATTTGGGGCAAAATTCCATATTGTACACAATGTAATACTGTACCAGAACTTACTTCTAATAGTTCTTTAGCTTGATGACTTTTGTCTCCAAGATCTAATATTAATAGATAAAATTAAAAAATATTAGTCATATGAGTATGAAATACTTAAGGCGTATTTTCGTATGTGTGTGTGTGTGTGTGNGGGGCAGGGGGGCAAAACCCTGTTTTCACCATTGATAAGATTCGAAACTGAAAAGACTACATAATAGGTGTTACAATTTGTATGTTTCTACAGTGCGAGGATGCCTCCTCTGACCCCTCTGGCTATGGGCTGTTAATGAAAATTGAAAAATTAGCATATGCAGTCAACATAGATGTTACATAGGTGTTACGATTTGAAGATTTCTACAGTGCGCGGAACTGTAGAAAACATTTTACATACAGTRGACACCCTTGGGACCGTCACTTGGTGTTCATGTTTTCCACAAATGTGCAAAGGATAAAGTTTGATATTGAATGGTATACCTTCTTTCTCAGCTTTTTCATCTATGGGTTTACCATCCAGGTCAAGTCTTTTCTTCAGCATGTGACTTGCTACATCAATCTAAACAACACCAGAGTACTTGATGTTAACTATAGGTAGTTTATTCACACTTTCCCTACTGTATTTCAAGGACTTTTTGCTATGAAACATACAGCAGATACATTCACTAGAACCAAATGCGGGGCCATTCCCTACTGTATGACTGCAATGCCTGATGGTAAGGAACAGTGGAATACTGAATTTGATCAATAATACAATTTTCCTGCATTCTGATTGGTCATCACCACCCTCATCAAGATAGTTATCATTATCAACACTAGTCATCATTTCTAACACCATCATCATGATTGTTTTTATCATCATCATTGTCATCATCAGTCATCATCATCATCACCATGATTGTCATTATCATCATCATTGACATCAGTTATCATCATCATCATTAGCACCATCATCATCATCACAACCATCATCATCACCAGTATCGATCACCACTACCACCAACATCACCATCATCAAATGTTCATCATTATGACCATTACTATCATCAATGGCATCTCCAACAACACCATCATCATCATTTTCACCTAATTTACATCAGTAAATATACATTATTTCCTACAGCAGAAGAAATGCTACTAACTATAATACAATACCTGTTGTTCACCAGATACATCCATGGCATCAATACTCAAATCTATTGTAACAATACAAGACATATACAGTATTAAGATTTGACAGTCAATTTACTGAATTGCCCTTATTATACACCTAAATGCAAAACAACATACAGCTGGTTGAAAATGAGGCATCCGGGGGTCAAATTTATAAATTTACAGTATTTTCTTATAATTTGATGCTGCAAAATTGTTGTGTTCCTGAATGTAAGAAGAAAAGAAACAAGTGAACAAGTGAACAAGTGTATACTTTGCATTGACACCATATTATTTCTTTGCACTTGGCCCTGGATGCCTTGTTTTCATGTAAYATACTCGGCCGTGCGCCGTTTTGGACTTAGGTGTATAACACTAAAGAAATGCTGTAACAATCTATTGAGAAACTCAGACTTAATTTGGACTGCAAGGGTGGCAAAATGGTAATGCACTTGGCTCTTGAAGAACCAACAAACAACTCTACTCACATACAACACCAAGTTTGGCAGGACTCGAACCCTAATTTTCTTGCCGATTTTTGCCGACCCTAATATTTTTTTCATTCCCAAATGCACCACAGGGTTCCCAGTAAGCTAATTTCCACTGTTGTATCAGTGGAAAAAAAATTCGACCTACACCACCGACCTACTGACCCCAATTATTTTTCTCATGCAACAGGAAACACACTTATTTTTTTTGTTTGGCCTGAAAGGTGAGCACTCTCCAGGTTTTCTGGTTTTCCTACCTCTAGGGACAAGCTAAATTCTAATTTGATCCTGACTATGATCATATAAAATTCATAAAATTTAAAGGTTGTAAACTAGAATAAGAAGAACAGATAACATGGAATACTTACAGACACATGGTAATTTTGAAAAGCTTATATCAACATTAATTTTAAGTTTTTGTCCTCTGGTAGTATCTACAAATAGTTCTGGTGTTACCTACAGATTAAGTATAAAGATAATATTAAATAATTAGATGGTATAATAAATATGATAATAAAATGTCTGAGATATAGTATGCATACTAATAAACCTTTCCCAAATGTCCTTGACTGATCATGACTTTAAGTTAAGGATGAACTTACAGTATATAGTATATAGTATATAGCTTACCTCTGTAGTCAAATAATAGTTTAATTCTGATACAAACAATAGGAACATCAATACTCCACTAATAAATGTGACTGCAAACAAATGAAAAAAACCATTGTCTTAATACGAAGTATTATATATGATTAGCTATTCCATAGTCATAGAAATTCCTTGCACTGTGGGGCTGTGTTATGTGGGGCTGTGTTATGTGGGGCTATGTTGGGGGGGTGCTTCATCAGTCAGTTGACATTCCTGACATTTCTGTGGTTTTACATATTCTGCGAAATCAGACATTCCAACAGCTTTTAAATAGACCTCCTCAGCTTGGCATAATGTTGTCCCATTTCAGACCACTGGTCATTACCTTGAGAATAATATTCTTTGTTTGAGTTGCATCCATATTCATGTGTCTTCTCATGCACAACCGTTCAACAAAGAAATGATACTCTAGGGAATAACACGTGGTCTGAAATGGGAAAACATTACTTCAGAGCCGAGGAGGTCTATTGGTTTTTTCACTGACCACCAGTCAAGAACATAAAAGGTACCAACTGAATATTTTTGATTGAYGGCAGAGAAAAAATTTCAGCGTGCAGCTCGTAACTACCGAGTTAGCAGAATATAGAAAACACGGTAAAAAACGAAAGAAATCTGAGAATTAACGGGACAATTTGGTTTCCTTTTCCTTATTTTCTTTTATTTTTCTCTATCAGCAATCAAAAAAGATGCCATGTGCATAATAAAAAGTCCCCTAAGACAGCCACCTGATGCAACACATTCTGAGTTAACAGCTAAGTTCACATAACCACAAACCYCCTAAATCAAGCACCAGTGTCAAAATGAACAAATAAATTATTAGTCAGGTGAAGTTTCAGCTCAAAATATTTGACTAATAAGAATTGACATGAAGTATTGACTTGAAAGTTTTAGTACGGCTTGTGAGGAGCAGTGACGTGTATATTAATGGTTTTCACAGCCACGTCACTGAAAATACTTTGAATTCCACAGACCTTTACTGGAAAACATGAATATTCTACACAAAAACGAGGACAACCCTGAGCAACCCAAGCTTATTGCTTATTAAGAGTTGAATCACAAGGACTCATCAGGGAATATTTTTACTACAACAATTACTACAACTACCATAATCCCTTGCGAACTTTCTCATGATAAAAAACAATAATTAAGAATTACTGGGAATTTGTAAAACTTTCCTAAATTTCGTAGTCTTACTTTCTGCAAACGATATACAATTTCCAGAATACATTTTTCAAAATATGAATATTAAAGCTCATAATAACAGCGCACTGTTTCCTTCAGCTGCAGCCCAAACAAAACACAATTTTGCTGGTTTTACCAACAATATTTGTATCAATAAAAATATCAAACACAACTCGGAAAATACAGCTGTAAGACCGTCTACTATTTAACGCATACAAAGAATCCACATAAATGAATGCAGTTGTTTGTTCAGGTTACATTTTTTTAAGTTGAAAAAGAGGTTTTCATTTGCAGACTTTTGCCACGTCGACAAAGTATAAAAACTCACAACACAACAAGAAAGGTTTCGAATAATAGTGTTTATATTCGAAAAGTAATTCCAAACTACAATACCACGTTTACAATAAACCCCCAATACTTGTAGTAAGGAAATTAGGCATACATTGAAGAGGTTAAGTGGAGGAAATGAGGTTAAATAGTTGAGTAAAGTTGGAGTTTTTCTGAGAGAGTTGAAATAATAAGAGGAACTTCTTACCAGCAGCGCCACCAAAAGTCTTAATTCTGAAATCTTCTAGAGTCTTTGGATAAGCGTCGAATCTCTTGAGAGTTGTAAAAAGGTCCTTACTTTGCATTTTGAATGGTAAAAAATGTCTATGAAGTCTAAAAACGTATTAATAAAGGTTGTTTGTGAATATCAGGACATTATTAAGGAAGCCGGTGGTGAAATGACGGACTGTGCATGCGTCGAGTAGGCTACCTATTCTCCCCTCCCCTCCCCTCCCCTACTAGATTGATTACACAGGAAACCCATATTTTTCTTCTTTTTCTTTTTCTTCTTCTTCCTTTCTTATTTCGTTATTTTCTTTTTACGTTTAATTCTGTTTTAAGGAATTCTAATTATCTTTTTTGATTCTTCTAGTTTTTCTTCTTTTTTTTTTAAGCAAACAAAGGATAAACTGTCATTGGATTGTACGTAATACTGAGAATGATTGCTTAAAATCTTTTGCGGTCGGTCTAATTAGATCAAGCGCTCTCAAAAGACGACATTGAACTCTAAAACTGGCATACGGCTACTTAGGGAATGCATGTTTTTTTACTGGGGAGGCTGAGGGGAATTGCAGTGATATTTGTTAATTAATTATTGCCCTGATTGGTCGAAAACTGTGCTTTATTAGTGAACGGAGCACAGCGCTGACGCATCTGCGCGCGTTAAGTGCTTCTAGGTCCTGCGACCGTTTTTATTTTTGCGTAAATAAATTCAACGCGTAAATAAATTCAACTTCTTGAGTGCTTACGGCGCTAACTGCTTTTTTTACTGAACGGAGCACGGAAAAAGCTGTTTTATTTGTTAACTAAAATGCGAATCGTAACCCTCTCCTTTTACTCAGTAAGGAATTCATGACAATTAAGCAATGGTCAATGCTCTATTGATGGTGCACGCAAAAGTTGGGAGAGCACGATGGTAGCGTAAGAGTTGCACGAGATGGAGCCGAGTGTTTTATCAGAATGCTTTTAATTTTAGTATAGATTGACCAGTTAGTCTTCTTTTTAGTTTTATCAGAATGCTCGCAATTTTCACCGAATTTTCTCAAATGTTGACGTCACCAGCGTGCTCCATACGAGTGCTCCATACATTTTTCTTCATAGGTGGTGAACCAATCAGAGCGCGCGTTATATCTTAGTTATGTTATAAATGACCGGTTTTTGTCAGGGYGGAGTTTCGCAAAGAGTTCAAATTTTTACTAATGCATGACTCTCCTTTTAAGCCCCAGCTACTACCCCAATAAAAACTTACCTATACTTATTGAGTAAAATACTAGACTGAAGCATGAAGTGCACAGCTGGGCATCGTCTTCACGTTCTGGGTTCAATATGCTTTTTTACACACATGATTTAATCGATTTTAAGAGCACATTTTGTGCCCACAAGAACTAACCAAACATACCGGAAGTCATTACTCAGATCCTTCAAATTAAGAGTATAAATAGGAAAAATTCACATTGGCCTGAACGGCAATGTGTTTGCGGTGGTATCGCCTACAGAGGACTTTGGCCCGACATGCTCTACGATCACAATACTCAATTGCCAACAGTGCGCAGCAGGATTAACCTTCATCACAATCAAAGCAAAGTAAGTCTTTAAGTGCAATTAATAAAAGGCGCTGCGCACGCTGGAACTTTTAACCCTGAAGTTGAAGAGTGTCAACAGCCTCTGCGAAGCAAGTCACCTTCCGTCCGACTGAAACTTGTGTCGCGAGAAAAATTTGTAGTTTTTGGTAGTTTTTTAATTTCAGTCAAAAAAAAAAAAAAAAAAAAAAAAAAAAA